TATTTACTTTGGCTTTTGTTTACAGTATACATTTAATAGAAATTGCCATTGGCATTGTGATCGACTGATTGAGCTTTCAGCTAAAGAAGTTATTAATACAAAGCAATTATATGACTTTCTAATCATTTCTCTGTTACTGTTTTATGCTAACTGAGCAACTGATAGCATTTTATTATTCTCCATGTAATATCGAATGACATATTCGAAATATTCGCACGGTTAACTTGTCATGTTATTTACTCATAATTTTTCGCGCATTTTGCATGTCATCAAACATCTACAAATGTATTATTATTTGCCAATGGCGTTCAATTCAACTCTTCATCACAAAGTAAGGTTTTACACACAGAGTATATGACAATATGGTAACTTTTTGTATAAAATTCCCTGTTTTCCCGCCATGACAGTATACAAGAACTGCCAGGCGCTCCCCAGCACGCACCCTTCCCAACAGCCCCTTCGCGCGTCGGATGCCTACCTGAATACTTCATGTAAGCGCCTGGGTACGAGGCAGATATACACCGGTAATAAACGCTTTCCCGTGTTTATGAATGTACTTTGCATAAATAATTTACTTCGTCTGATTTCCAGCCATTTTTTGGGAAAAGCAATAGTTTACTGCTCAGAGCAGTCTGAGCAGTAACTATTGCTTCATAGTCACTGCTGTGGGAGCCAATCAGAATGCTCAAAGGCCATTTTTAGTTGCTGGGGCACCTGTTCCCAGCAACTATAGGTTTCGGGTGAAATTGGTCTCGAGCTCCTTATTTTTACTTGCAACTCATTTGCTTATTTAATAGATTGAAAACAGGCGTCCCCTTGTTAAAAATTTCATGTCAATTTGAGGAGGTTAACCTCACAATATTTTTGCAGATTGCAAAATCATAATCTATCTACTAGTAATCTGTACTTGGTCTAACCATTTGATGATATTTATGTGGCTCCAACATGAAATAGCTTCAGTATTTTGGAATGTATTATTTGATGTTAAGCCCTTTCGTTACAAATCACCAATTGAAGAATTACTAGAATTAAAAGTGAATACAGGAACTATCCATATTTACCATGTTGCACCCTCAATATGCCTTGTTACCCCACGTCTTGCCCCCCCTCTTTGAGGGCCCTCTTTGTTAGCGATTTAGTTCTACACCACTGACTGCAAATATAAAGTTATGTAAAATTTCAATTTTAATGCCAATAGCTCAGGGGGTGCAGTGCTCTGGGAAGCTCTTTTTTAATTAGGAGACTGAAAGTGAGGGGAAAAGGCTCGAAAAGAATTTTAAATTTAGAGTCACTGAAATACCATCTCCTGAACTTTGGGAAAGATTTGACAGAAATCCGATGGTCGGAAAACAGCATGCCGGTTGCTACGGCCCTGGGCTGAAATATAACCACTGTCTAGCACATGCATCAGTTAGGTGCAAAAAGTTAAATTCCGCACCAATATATGCGATTTTCCATATCATATAACCCTTTAAGTGGCAATGCACCCTCATGTGACCTACTTTATTATTTTACTGTGTTTAATATCAAGGATTCTACTCATCAGGGAGTGAGTACTGTCACTCAATGGGTTAATTCACAAACGACTCCTTAGTCCTTAACTGATAAACAATTTTTTTAGTGTCAAATTTGTTATAAACAAGTTAAAATAAAAATACACAAATCTGTATTTATCCTTAAATATGAATAAGGGGTTATTATAGCCCAAGGCCCAAGTATGAACACTTGTGCCACAGTGCCAGCGCAAATTGGGCTATTCCAGCTTGATATTTTACTGGAATAAGGTGATAAATTTTTAGCTTTGGAATTCCCCAGGGATAAGCAAATTTCTGTGTGGATTCTTTAGGGGTAACAGATATTTTGAATGAGATTTTCTCAGGGGTCAAGTGTAAAAATTGAAATTCTTCCAGGGTCTCTCTTCATGGGTATTAACAGGGATTCTTCAGTGGATCTCTTTTACGACAAGAATTCTTCAGTTCAGGGATATGATGTACTCTTGTGCGACGGTCCTGATTGTGAGTTTGCACTTCATTGAAAGGACGACCTTAGTTAAATTTGCTGTATACCATAAGCGAAGCCCCCCGTTTGTTGGAGCAGAATATATAGAAGCCAATCGGGCAATATTCCTTCACAGTCGGAAATATTGGTTTATTATAAAAATAAATGGAACAAGTTCTGAATTTGGTGGGAAATTCTGTCAATTTGTGGGAAATATATGCTATCTAATAGGAATTTTTGTAATCACTTCTCCCTCCCCCCCTTCGACAACAATTTTGGAAAGTTTCTCCGGAAAGTTGTTTTGACAACGCAGGCACAATTCGAAAAAGTCGGGCAAATTTCTTTCCGCCCCCCTTTTTCCTTCCTGTATGCCCATGCTGTATACATTATGTCGCAACCTGTCACTATTTAATAAACTTATGTACAATTACAAATCAAGCCCACAAATCGTTGAATATACTCTTACCGCTCGTGGTAAATCACGCATTCACGCAGGCGCCTATAAGATATTTAAAATGTCCCAGCAACTTAACGCTCGAAAGACCGTCTTGTTTAATACTGAAATTATACTAAAGTTCTATATCACAAATTATACTAAAGCTTGATTTCTTTATTCAATCAATGCACCTTCACCAGAATCTCAGGGCCACGGGTTCGATTCCTTCCAGGGACCTAAACAGTGGCGTGCTGTAATGTGAGTAATGAAATAATGCTGAAACGCGTCCTTTTGGCAGCCAGGCAGGGAAACCTTAAAATGCATATGCGTGAGGTCCGTGTGTTATTGTATAAAAGAACTATATGTTGTAATTGTATTCAGATCACTAGATCAGTAGAGAATAGAATTGGGATTAGATTAATCGCTGGAAGTTGTTAGCATTGCATAATATAAGTACTACTACTACTAAATTCAAACCAAATTGCAAATTTCGACACGTTATAATGCCGTTTCCTGACCATCAGATTTCTGTCAAATCTTCCCTCAAAGTCCAGGAAATGGCATTTCATAGACTGGGGGGCATGCCCCCGGACCCCCCTAGACAAACCTCGCACCTGCGGCGCTCGGCTCGTGCCTTCGGCCCTCGTTTATCAAGCGAAACATTATAGGGGCGCATATTTGTTGACAGCCCACTGGCCCCCCCCAGAAAAATAGTACCCAGCACGCCACTGCTGCTTAATCTTTATACTTTTCTTTCTTGAGACAAAGACAAAGACAAAGACAAAGTAAAATGTACTCTACGTTTCCAGTGTATAGAATATCTCGCTTGAACAGCAATAGAATATTATAATCTTGACACAAACAAGACTAAGACATTTGACACGCTATTTAAAATCTGTAGTCATGCCTATAAAACTAGCCAATCGTCGCGAGCTTGACAGCCTTGTCAAACGCAAAACAAGTACAAATTTGGATTCAAACAGAAAGAAGTTCAATGTTAATACAACTAACATATATTCTATACAACTACCCGTGGTTTAAAATGTTTTCAATTGAATTTTCAAAGCTTTTATCTATCGCTATGATAACCAAACTGTGAACTTGATGCCGCAGTTTTGTTGACGCTTGCGAATGCAAAATAACTTCCCGTATTAAAACAGAGCATTTCTACACAAAACTCTCGCTTAGTCTTCTGATGCACTTGTACGTTCGGTTCCACTAGTTAACCGGTTCCACTAGTTAACCAACTAGTTATTTTTGGAACTGGTACACACGTCGTCAGTAATTACTCATTGTGATCTTCTTAGCTACGTTGTTTGCGGCACTGCAAATTAAAATGATGGTCGTAACAAAACGTCAACAGCACGAGGGCACAATTCAAGAATGTAAAAACTGGATAAAAGGCATTTTCTGTAGAGAATTTGAATTTTCCCATGCCGGGAATTGAACCCGGGCCATGGCGGTGGATCGGGTCTAACTCATGCTTGTCGTAGTCGGACGTGTTTTTATTAGCTCCGCTATTAATCGTTATATTTACTCGAATTCTCACAAAATATGGCTGTAGATCTTCGATCTAACTTAAAGGCCAGTGGAGAAAGGTTCTACTGGGATAGTACATTAGTTAAATTGAAGGAATTTGTCTCAAAGGAGTTAAAACTCTCAAGAAGATGGACGTCGCCGGGCGGAGAAGTAAAGTTATTCACAGCCGATACTGTAAGCTTGAAATGGCACGGAAAAACCATTAAAACTATCACATTGACTGGAAATTCGACTGAGACGGACGAATTGTCTAAGATTCTGACATCTATATGTGAAAGTTCAGTCGAAAATCAAGTCAGCAATACAGAGAGATGTCAAGACCACTTCAATAATGACGACAACACCGAAACAAGCATGGATGCCACCTCAGGTAAAAGGCTGAATACAACCGATTTATATATGCAATGACCAAGAGTCGTTGGAGAACTCTTTTAATAAAAGTGGCAATACTATTGCCGACAAAACCAACTCGGGGGATGGCATGCTTGAGATTATTGAGAATAACAAGTTTGTTATGACTGATAGTTCATGTCAGACAAATAATCAGACAGCGAACGAACGCTGGGGCCTTAATCATTCATGTCCATTAGATCAAGTTACTACAGATATTGAGAGTCTAAAATCTAAAATGTCTACTCTTCAGTCGTCAGTTTTGTCTTTTGAAAATGTACTCAAAGATCATGACACGATATTAACTTTATATAACAGAGCGGCGGATTTAAACGAAAAATATTTAGTTGAAATAAATGAGAAAACAGGATACATCAATTCTCTTGAACAAAAACTAATTAAAATCGAGGAAGAAAGAGACTCTCTGCAGCTCGCGACAAGGCTTATTGCACAAGACAAACTTTGTCAACATAGGGGTAATAGTGTCGGTTGTCAGTGCCGCAAAAGCAACCCCGTACCATGGCAAAAAATTCCTAATAGTAATAAAAACGTTCATAAAACTAACAGTGGAAGTCAACCACAAATAACGTACAATAGATATGAATGTCTAATTGATGAGGACGAAATTGCTGAAGTTGTTCAGCCGGAACAACCGGCACAATGCCCACCAGAGCACACAAGCCATCCTACTGGTAATGAATGTCTAATTGTTGAGGGAGAAACTGATGAAATTGTTAAGCCGGAACAATCATCACAATGCCCACCTGAGCAAACGAACCATCCCACTGGTAATGTTTATCAAAATCCTAATCGTCCTGGAGACCAAAGTGCAAGACCGTGTGTTGTCTTAATCGGCGATTCTATCATTAAAAATATCATTCCACAGAAGCTGTCGCAGAAAAGAGTGCATAAATTTGCATACCCAGGTAAATCAGCGGACGAAATAGAGTTTGAAATACGCAATATAGATCAAAACCTAGCGCCCTCTCATGTTATATTACACTGTGGAACAAACAATCTTCCAACAGACGACCCAAATGTTTGGATAAAAAAACTTGAAGATTTGTGCTCGAGAGTGCAAGGCAAATTTCCCAATGCACAAATCGGAGTGTCAACTATCACATGTAGAAAAGACCTTCAATTAGCAAATAAAATTGAAGAGGTCAATAATAAGATCAAAGACATGTGTTCTCGTAACGGCTATAATATTATACTTCATAATAATATAAATGAGACATGCCTGAACAATAGTAAGCTGCATCTAAACGCAAAGGGAACCGCATTACTTGCAGTAGGATTTATTAAGTTCCTACGTGGACGGCAGTTTTCTCCACCACAACAACATCACAACTATTCAAACCGCCAGTATGGAAATTTTCAAATGGAAAGGACAGCACGTCAATTAGAGAATATTCTGAGGACGATTACACGAGAACGGACTCGTTAAATTCAACAAATAACTCTAGTGATAACTTTAGCGATAATTTTAGTGATAACTCCAGCTCTAGCGATAAAATAGGGCCTAGGGAAAAGCCAGTTTCTAGTGATTCTGCCTCTAGTTTGTTTGATTTTGATATTTCTAAGTTAAAAGGCTTGAGAATTGCTAATTTAAACGTAAATAGTCTTTTAAAATATATTGACGAGATTCGCACTATGTTGTCTGATTACCCCTTTGATATTTTGGCTATTAACGAATCAAAAATTGATCCTTCAATTTTGAACTCTGAAATCAGTATACAGGATTATTCAATCGTTCGGTTAGATCGTAATAGATACGGTGGTGGTGTGGTACTTTATATAAAAAACAATATTCCATATGTGGAAAGAAAGAATTTAGTCCCTGATGACCTTGAAATGATATGTATTGAGGTTAACAGAAAGCATAGTAAACCCTTCTTGATAAGTACATGGTACCGACCACCTAGTTCTGATATTGAAATATTTAATGACTTTGAACTATTTCTTTTTAAATGTGATATAGAAGATAAGGAAATAATTTTGCTTGGGGACTTAAACTGTGATTTTAGTAAGGTGCCTCAGGGTTTCTGTACTCAAAAACTACAAGCATTGTGCTCCTTATATCAATTAACACAAGTTATAAATGAACCTACAAGAGTCACTGAGACTACATCGTCACTTATTGACGTTATTCTGACAAATACTCCTGAAAACATTTCGACATCAGGTGTCTTACACATTGGCATCTCCGATCATAGCTTGGTATACACTGTACGCAAATTCAAATTATCTAAATTTAGACCTAATGTGAAAGAAGTCCGGGACTTTAAACATTTTTCAGATTCTCAATTTCGTTCAGATCTATCTCAGGTACATTGGGATACGATTCTGAGATATGATGATCCTATATGTTGGATTGTTTGGAAATCTATTTTTCACGAAATCCTAAACAAGCATGCACCCCTTCGACATAGAAGAACTAAAGCTAACCCAGTTCCTTGGATTACGCCTACTATCAAGCAATTAATGAGGGAAAGAGATTATCATAAAAAAAGGCTATAAAATTTAACTCTACAATACACTGGGAAAAGTATCAGTTTATGCGGAATAAAATAAATATACGAATGCGTAAAACAAAAGCCGAGTTCTATCATAGAGAGATTGGAGAGTGTGCTAAATTAAATGATTTGAAAAAAACCTGGTCGCTAATAAACTCTCTTACTGGAAAGAATAATAAAGCCAACAATATTACAGAAATCTCTGTTAATAATTGTAACACCTCCAATTCGAAACTTATTGCCGAAGCCTTTAATGAATATTTCGTTAACATAGGCCCAAATTTGGCATCTGAAGTAAATCATGAACTTTCTGAAGAGGAAATGAATAACGGTTACATTCCTAACACTCAAATAAACACAGAATTTCAGTTCCATCAAATTAATGTGGAAAATGTGCGTTGGCTTTAATGAATTTAAAGACTAACAAATCTACTGGTTTGGATAAAATTCCAGCCAAAGTCCTTAAACTAACTGCAGATATCATAGCTCCGTCACTGTCCTATATATTTAATTTATCACTCGAAACAGGGATTTATGTTGACGACGGGAAACGGGCTCGAGTGAATCCAATTTATAAATCAGACGACAGACTAAAATGTGAAAATTATAGGCCGATTTCTATACTGCCAATCGTAAGTAAGGTTTTTGAAAGAGAGGTTTTTAGACAAATTTATAGCTTTGTTTCTGATAATTTCTTACTCTCCAAGTTTCAATCGGGATTTCGACCTAAACACTCCACACTGTCCTCTTTGATACAAATGTGTGACGATCTACTTGAGAATATGGATAATGGCAAAATAAATTGTGTCGTGTTCCTTGATGTACGTAAGGCCTTTGATTGTATAAACCATGAAATACTATTAAAAAAGATGCATAACTACTTTGGTATATCAGGAATTCCACTAAATTGGTTCAAGTCTTATCTATCTGATAGAGAGCAGCAATGTCTGGTAAACGGTCATTTATCGAACCCGAGAAAGATAAAATGTGGTGTACCGCAGGGATCTATCTTGGGCCCTTTATTATTCCTATTATACATAAACGATATGCCTGACTCCTTAAAATATTCAACTCCATCCCTCTACGCAGATGACACAGAAATTTATCTATCCTCTAAAGATTGTGATGACATTGTTATTAAAATAAACCTTGATCTTGAAAATATTCGAAAATGGATGCTACAAAATAAGCTCCAAATTCATCCGACAAAATCGAAATATATGTTTATTGGATCAACGTATAATATTAAACATAAGGTATCTGGTAACCCAATTCTTGTTAATAACGTTCCAATACCCAGGACTGAAAATTATACTTGCCTTGGTGTCAACATTGACGAAAAATTGACCTGGGAAAAACATATTGATATGATATGTTCAAAAGTCAGTGCAGGAATCGGTGCTATAAGACGTATTAGGCCCTTCGTATCGTCTGCGACACTAAAATTGATGTACAATGCTATTGTGCAGCCCTACTTTGATTACTGCAGCCCTCTCTGGGACAACTGTGGAATAGGCCTCAAGGACAGGTTGCAGAAATTTCAAAATCGGGCTGCAAGAGTAATTTCTAGTGCGACTTACAATGTTCGGTCGGTTGATTTACTTGAAAGCCTGGGTTGGAAACACCTAGAACTAAGGCGAACTTATCTAAAATCTGTTTTTATGTATAAAATTCTGAATAACCACACCGCACCAAATCTAAGAACATCCTTTCGATTGAATAATGAAGGTGATAATACCTATGATCTTAGAAATAGAGAAACCGATTTGTCTCTTCCTAAACCGAATACCGATTCTGGTAAAAGATGCTTCAAATATAACGGAGCGGTAGTATGGAATAATTTACCGTATGAGGTAAAAGTAGCGGAATCTTTAAGTTCTTTTCAAAGAACTATTAATCAGGCAAACACTTAAAATTGGCTCGTCCTGTTGCCTACTGTATATATATTTCTTCTTTCTTTGTTTTTGTATTTTTAATGTTTACCTATACTGTATATTTCTTCAAATCACGCCCCTCATGGAAATCAGCTCCTAGTTGTTGAGGCCAGCGTGCTAAAATAAATTTTTGTATGTATGTATGTATAATAGCTAACGGCGGTGCTCACAACCCATATTCACGTCAAGGTCGCGCGATTTGTGGGTTTACATGGCGCCGATCATTCGGACAACTAAACGTTTCAGAGGCAAAGCACAACCGCGGATTCCGCTGCTAATAATTTACGCGCATGGGGTGTTATGCTTTATATAACTACCACACGGCAGTGGTAAATCATCCGGGTTAGCTAGAAACGTGCCTAGCCCGACCGCACAACGGAGCTTTCGTGAAGAAGCTCAAGCGCATTCAGAGTACAGTGAGTGATAAATCGCAAGGTAATCAAACGTTGCACCTGGTCTAGTTCTGTTAAATGTCTGTCAACACGAACACCTAAACACAGTTGTATTAATAGACAAGTTTCCTATTAAAGTTCAGGATTTGCAACTTGCCGCACTTCCGGACTGTTCTAGGTGGAATTTATTGTTAGTTGTCTTCGCACGGGTTTCACAGGGATATTTTTACATCTTCGGTTAGCTGCCAGTTAGCGGCCTTAGCTCATCCTAATGTCAGTGTCCAATGACAAATATCTATCAGACGAAATTCGAGCTCGAACTGTGGCAGGTCCATTTGATACGCCACCTTTTCCTAATTACATTGACCTGAAAGGTCAAGTGTCTTAAATCGCTAAATATCTGTTTTCCTGGTTTTTCTTTTTTTTTCTTCGTTGTCGAGAAGTCGATTTTGCGTTGGCGTATCGCACGCTCAGTTTCCAGTGTTACAGTTATTCCAGATTACTATACAGATCAGTTTTCAAGATGGCGGCCATTCAAGGAGTGACCAGTGGTATCAGTCTTCAACAACTTATTTCGTTGTCAACGAATTTTAGCGCGTTTTTCTGTGGATTAGTCACCGTGTCACGTTTTATATTCTTGTCTATTGCACCACAGTGCGTATGTCGTCATTTTTCGGGTCGGTGTGAGCGCCTGAGCGGGCGTCTTGTTTGCATGAGAGTCGATTTGGAGTGATTCCAAAGAAAACCAACCGCGCGGCGTTTGATTTGAGACATATCGTTTCCAGCTGACCACAGCGTGAACGATGGGATTTAAAAACGAATCTCCAGTAGTTTATAATACTGTACAAGATGCCATCCGAGTAATAGTAAAGATTGGTTTAATAATAGGGGGCATTAATGGGCAAATGGACACCCAAGGATGTACTGTATTATCCACATTTATCGAGGTAATCGATACTTGTTAGGTATGAAATGGCGGGGACAATATCTTGTTGATCTTGCTTTTATTCGAGCACCTCTATCATGAGCCCCTGGCTCGAGTGATTGGGCAACCACACTCTGTGTCATTCGACATTAAATAAATTATTCTATTCTATTCCCTTTGGTCTACGAAACGCCCCGGGAATCTTCAACTCGTTGGGGGATGCGGTCGAGTGGATTTTACAGCACAACTGTCGTGTTGCCGATTTTTTGCATTACCTTGACGATCGATTTTTTCACACTTGGCCCAGCTGGTGCTATGGTTTGCTCGAAGTCTCAACGCCTTGCAGGTACATCACTCGACATCGGCAGTCCCGTTTAGCTCCGGACAAATGCGAAGGTCCAGAACGGCGAAACCCTGTCGCGCAAGCAATTAGTTTCGTGGATTCACGATTCAGCGGCTTGGTTATACCTCGAGGGCAACTACTCAGGACATAGCTTCGAATCGGAGTGGCGACAACGGCTGCGTCGGCTGGTGTTGTTCCTGACTTAACTTGCACGAGTAATTTAAAGTGGGATTTGGGATGAATTAGGGTAAGCACAAATAATTTTCGATATGAAACTAACAAACTCGTGTGACATGTTGTCTCTTGTGTTTGGGCTTACAATGGAGAAGACTAACAA